TCTACCCCCAGCCTCAGCCAACCCAATCACAGGCGCGAACAAGCTCACGCCCAGCATGTGGCACATTCAGGGAGACCTTAGCCAACAAAGCTGGGACCCTCCCAAGTGGGTTGGCATTGCAATGTGTGTTGACCTACTGAAACCAAGCAGGGATCTTCTACAAAGGGATGGCCCTCAGTTTTCCCTGCTGCTGAGGAAAAACTTTAAATTCCTTGCCAGTGTCCAGCCTGGGGGTGGGGGTGGGGGGTGTTTTTTAGACACCCCTCAGAGATCACTCTCTGAAGAGTGATCACTGCTAGGAATCATGGCGCGTTTTTATTGAAAATGTGTTACATGCAAGTAAATGGAAGAGGGACTACGTGTTTCAATTATCAGCTCATAAAGTTTTAACAATAGAGAACATAGATTTTATTCGGGTTGGATTAAGGGTGGGTCTAATGCAGTTCCGCAACTGTTCATTTGATGTAGGTGAGTCTCCATGGAATGCAGTTTCGGGAAAGCAGTTCCAGTAAGCAGAGATGACTATCAGCTGATGCGGCGCAGCAGCCATCTTATGATTACCGGGAATGGTGCTGAGAAAAGAAAATCTCAAGTATAGATATTAGTTCTTATGGATCTTAATAAAGAATGATACTTATATAGTTTTATAGGGATCTAAAACTTAATTCAAGGAATCCTAATATGTCTATCTATTCTAAAGGGGTGAGCCTATTGTTCATTTGGTGAGGGCGGGGGTGTCCTGGGTCAGTTTCAGCCTAAAAGATTATTCTCAAACTTATGTTAAATGTATATTGAAGGGCCTTCCAAAGGTCAAGATTTCTGCCTAAATTTGACTTTATCACATTCTCTATTGTAACTGTCCAGAGTAAAGCATTGTAATTAACAATAGGTGGTCAGAGCAAGGGGGAGCGGTCGGGGGACTTCCTGGAAAATTTTATCATATACTCAGGATGTATATGAGAGCTATGTAATTCTTTTATAGTAGCATATTGGGGAGTCAGAGGGGGGTCGCTTCCCAGCAAGGCTACCACAGTTTTCTGGAGCAAATAGCAAGCAGCCTTGTGACATGCAAATTTGACCTAAGTCTTATTCCTAGGCCAGGGGGTACACAGCAGTGGCCTTGCCAATGTGCTGACCCAACCAGAATCGGAGCTCAAAGGTCAGGGGGCTCAGACAGATCCTGGAGCCCCGCTGGGTCGGACTCCTCCAATTCCAGAAACTGAAAATGAATAAGGGATGAACTAAAAGTAAAATGTCTTTCTAAGGGGCCTAAAGTGCAAAGTTCTCTTAGGTTTTAATAGCCCAAAGTAAGGGTAAGATTTCAGACTTATTGGCCATCAATGAGGGCTATCAGACTTCTAAAATTCACTTAAAGACAAGACCTAACTTACACACTTAAGATGTTTTGCAGGGGTACCAGCTGGTGGCATAGTGGTTGAGGCTCTGGACTCCCACAGGGCTGACTGCAGTTCAAGTCCCAGACCCAGCAGCTTCAAACTCATGCCAGGCGCTTGTGCATTCATGCCCAAACTCCCGAGGGGTGAATGAAGGAAGAGATTGTGGCATGGTCATCCTTCCTTGGGGGTGATTTCTCACTTTCTCTGGCAAGCACACGGCACCCAATAGCAAAAATTTCTCAAAAAAAGAGGATTTTTTTTTTCCAGGATAAAACCCACAGGCTAGGAGCACAAAGACCCAGGCCTAATGGCCCAGACACCTGAAGATTAAGCCTTTCCAGAACAGAAGTTGACTACCTAAGTCCTCACCAATCAAGAGGGCCCACGAGATGATCAAACCCTTCTGAACCAATCGTCGACCTGATCATGGGCCTGGGACCCCTGCCCTTAAAAACATGTAGGGGACTCCTTGGGGAGACGGAGCCTCTTCAGCATAAGCTGCCCGGTTTTCTTGCTCTGCACATGGCTTTGTTGTCTGTGTTTTCCTTCATCACACCATGTGCCTGTGGTTTGTAGTACCTGGGCGAGTGAATGTGGTTTGAGTTCGGTCACCTGATGGCAACGGAACCATGGGGACATCATTAGTGCCACCTGTGAAGGAAGAGACACTTCAGTGCTCACCTGTCCCGACCCGGGGAGACAGCCGAACGGGTTTCCTGAGTGAAGGAGTGAGAGCCAGGGCAAGCAGCGTAGTGTTACAACACGAAGACGACAGTGTCGTCTGTTTATTGTGGGCAGCACGGTACAGCACAGAGACGACGCAGTGTCACAGCTCTTAAGGGTCACGTCGTCTACTGTGAGCAGCACGGAGACGACGCGGTATCACAGCTCTTCAGGGTCGTCCAGAGACGATGTAGTGTTACAACTCTTCAGGGTCTCCCAGTTCGTCTGGAGACGATGCAGTGTCAGCTCTTCAGGATCTTCAGGGTCGTCTGGAGACTGCGCGGTGTTTCAGCTCTTCAGGCTCTTCAGTTGTCGTCTTCCTGGTCCTCCTCGTCTGGCTACTGTGGGCCAGGCATCGTGGTTATATACACTCTGGTGGGTTGTAAACGGTGGGCCCTGATTGGTTGTTAACAGTGGGTCCTGATTGGTTGTTAACGGTGGGTTATGATTGGTTGCTTGTAGACCAATCATGAGGTGCCGGATATACAAATTTGAGGGATTCTAGTGGCCAATCAGAGCAAGGTTTCAAAGGTCAGGTTTTTGGAAGGGAACCAATCATGGTAATTGTTTGCTCTCTGAGAAACCTCGGCAGACTCGCTGGTGCGCAGCTTCCCACACTCACCTTACAGGACTGCTACCTGGCAGTGAACTGCCCATAAAGGTTGACTGGAGTTACAGTTTGTTCTGTTGCTGGTGCATCTTCTTGTGTGAAATCATGCCCAGCATTATTTTTCTTTTTTTTTTTTTTTTTTTTTTGAGAGATTTTCACTGTAGGGCGTGTGCGCTCGCCAGACAGAGAGAGACATAGAGACAGAAAGCGAGAAATCACCCCCCAGGGGGGATGGTCACGCCGCAATCCCTTCTCCTCCATTCTCCTCTCGGGATCTTGGGCACGCACGCACACGCGCCCGGCGTGAGTTTTAAGCCACCGGGTCCGGGGCACGAACCGCGGTCGACTACGTGGGAGTCCAGCGACATAGCCATTACGCTAACTGCTGGTTCCCCATTATTTTTCTTTATGGTGGAAAAGCGTGTGTTTAGAATTAGCCAGCTGGACTCAGTTTAGATGATCCCAGCTTTGTTGGTGACATCCAGAGCATCATAATCAGGAGCCAGTCACACATAGGCCTTCTTCTCTCCTTTAGGCCTGATCAGGGTGTTGACCTTGGCCGTGTCAATATCAGAGATTCTTCACAGCCTGTGTGATCTGGTGCTTGCTGGCCTTGACACCCACAAAGAACACAAGTGTGTTGTTGTCCTCTATCTTCTTCGCAATAGACTCGGTGGTCAGGGGGACTTGTTGATGGCTTAGTGATCAAGCTTGTTTCTCCTGGGGCACTTTTCTGAGGATATTTGGGCTGCCTCGGGTGCTGCAGTGTCTTGGGGCTCCAGTAGGTGAGTGATGTGTGGATCTTTTCCTTCTCCTTTTTTTTTTTTTTCTTTCTTTTTTTTTTTTGGGGTGTGGATGCCTTTCAACACTGCATTGGCCTTCAAAGTTGCTTTGGCTTCAGCTTTGAGAGGGGCAGGAGCTTCCTTCTTTGCTTTTGGCGCCATCTTGATAAAAAGGGTCTTTGTGCCCCGCATTAAAGATGATGAGAATTTTAAAATTTTTATTTGCTATAAGGCACACAGAGGGAAGAGCTAGGAGGTGACATGGTGGTTAAGGCATTGGACTCCCACATGGTAGACAGTGGTTCAAGTCCCAGACCTGGAGGCCTGAAAATCATGGTAGGTGTGTGTGGGTGCATGCCGAAGTCCCAGGAGAATGGAGAAGGGATTGCAGGGTAGCTATATGCCCTGGGTGGGGGGATAATTTCTCACTTTCCCTCTCGTTTCTGTGTGTGTGTGTGTGTGTGTGTGTGTCTCTCCAGCAAATGTATGAGCCCTACGGCAAAAACAAGACAGGTGCTAGGGGAGCAACAGAAAGAGGGAACGGGAGAAAGCACCGCCCCACCACAGCTATGGTTACAATCCCTCTTGAAATTTTGGGCACCCACCACACATATATTTTTCAAGATGGAGGGGTCCAGGACTTCAACCATGCAGTAGCATAGCCATATGGGATCCAGCTGCCTTAACCACCACGCCACCCACTGTCCTAATATTTCTTTTATCCAAATGTAAACTTGGTTGTGCCTGTTCATGCATTTTAATTTGCCATAGGGCATGCACACTTGGCAGAGAGAGACAGAGAGAAGAACAGGGAAAGGCGAAAGCCAGCAGCCAGGTCCGGGACTCAAACCGCTTTCAACCATGTGTGAGTCCAGCGCTCCAACCACCACGTCACTTGCTGGCCCCATGGGAAATTTTATTTATTTATTTATTTAGTGAGGTTTTTGCTATAAGGCACATGAGCTCACCAGAAAAACAGAAACAAACAGACAGAAAGCAAGAAATCACCCCTGCAGGGGGTATGGCCACACTGCAATCCCTTCTCCTCCATTCTCCTTTTGGGATCTTGGGCACGCACGCACACACAGCCGGTGTGAGTTAAGCCATTGGGTCCAGGACTCAAACTGAGGTCCACTACATGGGGGTCCAGCATAGGCATAGCCATTAGGCCAACTGCTGCTCCCCCCATGGAAAATTTTAAATTAATAGATGTGGGGCTTGGAGCCTCTTCTTACTGCCAAGTTAAGAGCATTCCCAAGGTGAGGAGGGGGCAGCAGGTGGGTGGTAATTAAGGGCGGGGGACTCCAACATGGCCAACTGCAGTTTGAGTACCCAACCTGGCGGCTTGCTTTCTCACTTTCCCTCTCTCCGTCACTCCGGTTCTTCTCTGGTAAAATTAAAAATAATAAATAAAGTTAGTTAAATAAAATAAGTCTTTAAAAGAAAAAGTAGCATCCCCAAGGGGCCGGCAGGTGCACTCAGCAAGCGACAGACCTGAATCCCTGCTGCCCCCCAACTCTCATCTCGGCTCCCACTCGACCTGCAGCGACAGGGCGGGTGGAGTCGTTACCAACCGCTGCTGAAGACAGCGGGGAAGAGGTGCGGTCTGGAAAATAACGGAGCGGGAAGGGCCGTCGATTAAGCAGAGGGTTCAGAGAAGAAACCTGGAGGAGGAGGGAGCTAGACAGTAAGAGGGGAGCTGTGGCGGGTGCTGCGAGTAGGAGGGGAGAGCAGGGCAGGGTTCCGGGTGTTGACAAATGAGTCGGGAAGAGCCGGCAAGTGAGAAGGGTGAGAAGGGCCGGGAGGGTGGTCCGGGAGCTCGGAGCTGTGGACCCGGGGACTCGGCGCTAGCTGCCCGGCTGGCGGAGGCAGTGGTGAGGGTGGGCGGCTGAGATGGACTGGCAAGGGCGTGTCAGGGGATGGGGACTTGGGACAGGGCCGGAGGGGAGTGAGGACGCGGACGTGGCTAAACCGGGGTACGAACCG